GCTGTACGCCGCAGCCGCTCAGCAGCTTTGCCTCCGAAGAAAACCCACCCTGTGCAGTGCTGCTGCTGCTGCTGCTTCTGCTGCTGCTGGAGCTGCTGTTGCTGCTGCTGCTGCTGCTGCTGCTCTTGCAGCTCTTCCTGCTGCAACAGCTCCTCTCTGTCCCATCTCTCATCAGCGCCTTCATCTGCAGCAGCAGCATCATCAGCAGCAGTAGCAGCAGCCGCAGCAGCAGTAGCAGCAGCAGCAAAACCAGCAGCAGAAGCAGCAGCAGCAGCAGCAGCAGACACTGAAGCTGCTGCTGCTTCCTCCCAAGCGCATTTGCTGCTGACGGAGGTGTGGGGGGGCCCCCATGCAGCAGAATCTGTAAAAAAGAGACAGCTGCTTCTGCTGCTGCTGCTGCTGCTGCTGCTGCTGCTGCTGCAGCTGCTGCTGCTGCTGCTGCTGAAGTCTGCTGCTTCTTTTGCTGCTCGCAAGACAGGGCAGCAGCAAACGACCTCCCCATCCTCACGCAGCCAGGCCTTGAGCAGCACCTCCACCTCTTCCTCCTGCTGCTGCTGCTGCTGCTGCTGCTGTTGCTGCTGCTGTTGCTGCTGCAGTTGCTGCTGCTGCTGCGAGTTGTCTGGGGTGTTCAACAGCCGCAGCAGCAGCAGCGCCGGCTGCTGCAGCATCATTTTGCTGCTTGCTGTTGGTGGGCGTCCAGGCCTATCGCAGCAGGAGCAGCAACAGCTGCAGCAAACGTGTTGCTGCTGCTGCTGCTGCTGCTGCAGCTGCAGCTGCTGCTGCTGCTGCTGGATCCTAGGGAGCCCGCTAACCTTCAGGGTAAGCTGCCCGCCCCCCCCCAGCGGCAGCAGCTGCGGCAGCACCTGCTGCAGCTGAGCAGCAGCAAAAACAACCAACGTGGAGGCCCCGCAGGCAACGCGAGAGAAACGCAGAGGAGAGGGGGCCCCTAAACCCACCTCCGCTGCAGCAGCAGCAACAGCAACAGCAGCAGCAGCAGCAGCAGCAGCAGCAGCAATGACAGCAACCTCGTAACGATTGCACAAAAGGCAACAGCAGCACCACCAAAGTAAACAAGTGATCACGCAGCAGCAGCAGCAGCAGCAGGAGCAGCAAAGTAAACAACTGAAAACGCAGCAGCAGCAGCAGCAGCAACAGCAGCAGCAGTAGCAGCAGCAGCAGCAGCAGCGGCTCACTGGGTATAGTCAAAATGTTGGTAGAAGCAGGAACTCCCCTGTAGTTGCTGCTGCTATTCGGGCAGCAGCAGCAGCAGCTGCTGCTGCAGCTGCACCAGCAGCTGCCGCAGCTGCTGCTGCAGCTGCTGCAGCAGCTGCTGCA